TGCTCATGGCTTCCAGAGCTTCCTAATCTGAGAAGTTGCTGGGCAGTGAGTGGTCAGGTTTGGCTCACACCTACAGCAGTCCCTTCCCTCCTGCTTGTACCCTGTATGTCACACAGCCGCGTGTCAGGTTTTCTCTCACCACATCCTGTGTTTTACATAAGAGACAAAAAAAAAAAAAAGCCCCTAATAACGTTGCTAAGTGGGTTTGTTTTCTAAACTGCAAAAACAATGCACTCATCAAGAACATTCTAAAGAATAAGATCGTGCAAAGTAAAATAATAACAATAATAATAAGTGGCTGAAGAGATGGCTCAGTAGTTAAGAGCACTGGCTGCTCTTCCAGAGAACCTGGGTTCAGTTCCCAGCACCCACATGGTGGCTAACAGCCATCCATAACTCCAGTTCCAGGGGATCTGACACCCTCTTCTGGCCTCTGTGGGCATTGTATGACATGGGTGCACTTACATACATGCAGGCAAAACACTCATACACATAAAATAAAAATAAACAATTAAAATAAATAAAGCCTGTCTGTACTCTTCCCCCCACCAAAATCCCACATCTGGTGAGGTAGCCACTGTGAGTTTGCTGTGCACCTCCAGACCCTTTGATGAGGGACACATATCCACATGCTATACAAACATCATTCAATGCAGCTGGAATCATACATATATATCCTATGTCTATATCTCAGCATGTTTGAGACAGTGTGTTACAGATAAACTTCTGGTTTGATGCCCAAACACAACCTTGTTCCTTTTTTAGGGTTACATGTAATTTCATAGCTGAGAAGGACATGCATAATTTAACCACCTGCCTCCAAGCTTTAACAACAAATTTGGTTGCTTCCAATTTGCCATTCTGGATACCGCCTCTCTAAGCATCCATCTATATCATAAAGCTGTTTTGGGACCTCTATATCCAGAACTAGGATTACTGTTAGAAATATACTATGGTCCCTCCTTATGCACAGGAAACATGTTCCAGTACCCTGAGGGGGGTGCCTGACAGTGCAGGGAGACCCAAACCTCACACATGCTGTGTTTTTCTCATCTGCGCATACCTATGACCAAGTTTGATTTGTAAGTTAGGCATGGAAAGAGATTAACAACAGTTAGTATTAAAATTGAACAGTTAACAATAGTATACCACAATGAATGTTTTTTTTTTAAGACTGATGACTTATTTCCGGAATTGTCCATGTAATATTTTCAGATTGAGAGTATCCACAGGTACGTGGAACCATGGAAAGTAAAGCCGTGGGGTTGGAGGTCTGTGTAAATAAAAGCTTTCCAGTAAATTCTGTATCTTCACTTATGAGTGGTCCCTCAACAAACTTCTTGACTTTCTTGCTCTAGTTGTGGTGCCAGAGCTGCAGCTGTAGGCAAAGCAGAAGTGCCTCTTTTCAGAGGTGACAGCCGGTCAGGAGAGTCCCTGGACTCTGCCGCCCTGTTTCTAACTTGTTCTAAAATGACAGAAGAGAGAACTATGCTTTTGTCAGAAGAGGCTGTTCACAGTGCCTTTTGACCTGCCCCCAAGGTGGCTGTACACCCCTTGGGGGACTCCCCTCATGAACTCCAGTCAGAGAGCACACATTACCACAACCAGTGCCCAGAGAAAGCCTGAAGTTCTGGGCTGCCTGGAGGGGCTGCCCCACCTTCCATGCTGGGCCCCTTTTTCATAGGAGGAAGAGGAAGCAGCAGCTTCCGGAAAAGCTGGCTGGTGCCTGCTTCACAGAGGGCCCTGGAGCAGGCGATGTGTCATTGTGAAAGTTTGTGGTTTCTGTTTTCCTCAACCTCCTGAGGACAAGGCCCAGGGGGGATGGGGTGGGAGTTAGGTGGTCAGCACCCTGAGGCCTCACCCCAGGGTTTCTACCCAGGAGACAGGGATGTCCTGCTGGCCATGGTGGGTGTTTGTGAGAAACAGGCTCACAGGGGCCCAGGCTTGCCCAACAGGAAGGAGAGCCTGGCTTGGTCCCCATTCTTAGCAGGAGCCCTCGAGGGGCCACCCCTCAGATAGCCACAGAGCTGGGGGCTCACCTGTGCTTTCGCCTCACCATCTGCAGCCTTAGTCCCCAATACCCCTACCCCAGCTTCTGCACAGTTTTCTTTGCCTAGAAAATGTCAGTGGTGAGGGGACAGGGACATAGCTCCACACCGCCATACTCCTGAAGGGTTCTGAGACTTAAGGACTTTGATTCAGGTCAAACTAGGGTTCATGGCTTCAGTGCTAAAAGGAATTTCATAGAGTTGATTTTATTCAAGAAACTTTAATATAGGCTTCAGCACAAAGGTTAGGAGAAAAGAGTCACTCAGGAGAAAGACAGGCCTGTGGGATAGCTCAGTAGGTAAAGAAAGACATTTGCTGCCAAGCTCTGTGACCGGAGTTCAACCCCTTGTACCCACTTAGTGAGAAAAGAGAACCAATTCCTATAAGTTGTGCTCTGACCTTCACAGGTGATGTGCACCCCTTCTCCAGTGTAAAAATGTTTCTTTTTTTTTTTTGGTCTTTTTTTGAGACAGGGTCTCTCAGTAGCCCCAGCTGGCCTGGAACTCACTATGTAGACCAGGCTGGCCTTGAACTCACAGAGATCTGCCTGCCTCTGCCTCCCGAGTGCTGGGCTTAAAGGCATGCACCACCACGCGTGGTGGCGGCGCATGCCTCCAGGACAGCTGGGGCTACTGGGAGACCCTGTCTCTAAAAGACAAAAAAAAAAAAAAAAGACACACCTACACACCTGACCGATGCTGGGTGTAGAAATCTCAAAGAAGGAGCCATAGAAAGTAAGACACACTCACATGTGGGTATGGGCACTTCAAGGGAGGGCAAGCTATTGTCTTAGTATTATTAGCCCTATATGCTCTTTTGATAAGAGATCCGTGAGGTGGCTCTGGAGATGCCTTGGGTGGAACTGTAATTGAATATGGTGAAATTGGAAGTCACTAAGGCTGCACAAGAGGTTCAGTGCCTGACCTTTCCCTGTAAATGGGTTTCTGGTGAGATTTCTAGAAAATTACAGGTTTATACTGGAAAGGGAGAAAGGCTTCGAACAGGTTTGAGAGGCTTCAATTAGATGCCTAAGTGAGGGCCTCCCGAATTTCCCTTGCTTTTCTATCCTGCCTCAGAAATGTCTCCCCCAGATCTTGAGTCTTGTCTTAGTCCCAGTGCCCAGCCCCTGTCCCTTTGAGATGTTTCATCAGCTCTGCTCTGGAGTCCTACACCCCCAGTCCTGCCCCCAGAAATCCTGTCCTCCAGTTGTGTCCCCAGGTGTGTCCTGTCACCTAATTGTGCCTCCAGTTGTGCCCCCTGGAATCGGGTTGAGTGCATTTCCACACTTGAGTGACAGCTGCCAGGGGAGGGCTGGGTGAAGACTATCCCTACATAGAACAGCCTGGCATGGCGAAGGAAGGTGAACAGTAATGTTGGCTGAATAAATGGGTGCTTCAGGCCCTGGCTGTGCCTCCTCCAGGTGGCCCTCCCTCTCTCCCCTGACTGTGCCTCAGGTCACACCCCTACTGACCACTTCCACAACAACCAATACCTCCCTCCCTCCCTCCTCCGCTCCCTCCTTCCCTCCCCCCTGCTGAGTAGGCTTCTGTTGATTCCATTGCTCTGACTAAACTGGGTGCACAGAAGGCCAGGACTGGGTTTGTGTCTGGTGCTCCTTGTTGCTCTGTTCTAGTCATCCTGGCACCTGATGGTGCCTAGGGAGTTCTGAATGATCTCAGCAAAGAGGAGCGTGCACTCTGTTCTGTGCCCTGGGCGCTCTGGTTTGAATTTGTGAGTCTGGTGGAAGTTCTGTTCTTGAGACTTGTCACTGTTATCTTCAGCTGAGCATCCCGTCCTCTCTGAGTGTTTCCTTCACAGCCCTGCTGCTCAGTCACCAGGAAATATGGCCCCAAGGCAGGAGCCTAGAAACCATTTCCACTTATAGCTCTGAATTCTTCATCACTGGCATGGGAAGGCATGCTGACCTGTTGGGTGTATTTAAAGATAAACCTTACTAATTTCTTTTTCTGAGTCCTGAAAACCATACATATTTATTATAGCAGAGTTACAGAATACAGAAAGGGAAAGCAGCCTCATGCAGTCTCACCACCCCACACACCAGCTAAGTAACTTCTGTACGTTTCCTCCAAGTCAGTTCTATATAATTGCTGTTTCAAGGGGAGCACAATTCTGACCCTGCAGTACAGAGCACTGTGCACCCCCCTTTTCTCCATTACCCTTATAATATGAAACTTAGGTTGATAAGTATATAAAGTGCTTTAATGAAAAAATACTTCATAGTTTTTAAATTGCTGTGCTGGGGATCAAACCCAGAGAGTTGTACATGCTAGTCGAGGACTCTACTACCCAGCACTGAGTAGAGTTAGTTTTTGAAGACAGTCTTACTCTGTGGCTGAGGTTGGTCTTGAACTCTCGGTCCTCCTGTCTGCCTTCCAAGTGCTGGGATTATGGGCATTCACCACGTCAGCAACTGTTTCACCTCTCCTAATTTTCCATCCCCCCACTCTGTGTGTGTGTGTGTTCCACCATGTTTAAACCCTTCTTAAAAAAATAAAAGATATATTACAGATAATATGTAGACAGGTTTTTTTTTTAATGGCAGCAAAAATGATAGCTGAGCAATTTTGGTTGTTACGAATGTGTAGCTATTTTAACAGTACGTTGATGAACATTGTATTTAGTGTTATTTTATCAGATTTGTAGATTTACAATTACTGGATCAAACAAGTCTGGCTGCTTTAAAGGCTCTTGTATTTATTGCCAAATTGCTCTCTAAAAGGCTCTGGCCAGTTTGCGCTCCTAGCTGGCAGCAAAGTGGTGGCCTCAGCAGCAAGCGCACTTCATTTTCAAAGCTTTGTCTGCTGGGTAGAAAACGGCTTGTGTGCAGCCGTCTGGCATGTATATCCCTGAGTCCACAGTGTGACTTTGCCCCAGGTGCGTGGGTGGGGAAGTGACCCTCAGATATTGCAGCTGAGATTTTTGTCTTGCAGCTGACTTTGGTGTGTCAGCCAAGAATCTGAAAACTCTGCAAAAACGAGATTCCTTCATAGGAACGCCTTACTGGTAAGTTATGCGGCTTTTAGGACTTGATTGGCAGGCTAAATCTTAACCCTAAAATCTCAAGGTGACTTCTGGGTAGTTTGTATGGGGTATGGGAAAGTGAGGTGGGGGGTGGGGGTCAGAATTTCAGACTCCTGGGTCAGCCTCCACTTTACTTCCTAGTACTGTTGTAGCCTTAGACACATTAACTTCCCTGTGCCTCAGTTTCCTCGTCTATAAGTTAGAGTGACCGGAAAACACTCTATTAATAAACTAAACTGAATCCCTAAAAAAAGCGATTTATTTAACTTCTGTATTAAGTTCTAGGTGCTGGTCTTGGGTGGGGGAACAATACAAGTTCACTTCCTGACCTTATGAGAAATTTCTACGGCTTCTCTCAATAACTCTCCTTTTTCAAAGCAAAACAAAACAAAAATCTACAAAAACTGACTGGCAGAAGACATCTGAAGCCTTGCTCTGTCCTCACTGTGCAGGCACCTGGAGGCAAGCACCTGTACACTCATGTGCATACAACACTCTCTCTCTTCTCTCTCTCTCTCTCTCTCTCTCTCTCTCTCTCTCTCTCTCTCTCTCTCTCTCCCCCCACCTATCTCTCTTTCTCTCTCTCGCACGACACTTTCTCATCTCTCTCTCTCTCTCTCTCTCTCTCTCTCTCTCTCTCCAAACCCAAAGCTCTTACTCGGTTTCACACGTGATTACTTCACATTGTGTTTTTGCAACTTGCCCTGGTGATCAGCCCTTTGCCTGCTTGCTTATTTTTCTTAATTAACTCTTTCTCTCCCCGCCCCATCCCTATTATTCCTTTCTCTTTGCTCCCATCCTACTTTCTCTCTGTGCTGTCGAATTCTGTCCATCCCACCTTCCTGCCCTGTTTTTTGCTGGAACCTTCCCCTCTGCCCCACCCTACCTGCCCCTTCCCCAGGACTCTGTTCTGGATTGCTGCTGCCACCTTGTGGTATGCCCCAGGAACTGCAGTAGGCCATGGCGGCGGCGCGCTGCGAAGGTGAAGACAGCCGGTTGAAGACGACAGTGGGATATCAGGAATTCAAGTCATGGCTCCAAGGGCTGACAACCCCCAGTATGAGGCTGGTGGTGCTCCTGACTTTGAGTCTACAAACGGCATTCACAGGGGCCCAATTCTTAGCCCTCTGTTGTTCCTTGATTGGTTCAGGATGGCCCCAGAGGTTGTGCTCTGCGAGACTATGAAGGACACCCCCTACGACTACAAAGCTGACATCTGGTCCCTGGGTATCACGCTGATTGAGATGGCGCAGATTGAGCCCCCACACCACGAGCTCAACCCCATGCGTGTCCTGCTCAAGATTGCCAAGTCAGACCCTCCCACGCTGCTCACCCCCTCCAAGTGGTAAGGAGTTGCTGAGGATCTACAGGCATGGCTTGGGGCAGGTGGCACTGGGGAGGAGCAGCCAAAGTCGGGGGTGTCAGAGCCTAGGGGTTCTCCAGGACTTTCTGAGCTGCCTTCCTGAACGCTATACTCTGGACAACAGAGCAAAACCAGTTAGCCAGTACCTTGATCTCATCATGCCGCAGGACAGAGAGTCTAAGCAGAGAACCAGCAGTTATGTGGCATGGCCCAGGGTTGGAAGTGGTACTTGGGTTCAGATTATCACAGTGTTCATTTTCCCCCAGCCAGTCTCTGCTCCTCTTAGAGTCCCATGTCCCAATCTGGAAAATAATTATATGATAAGAAGGAGGTCACAGAAGCTCTGTTTCTACTGTTCTAGACCATGAAGGCTCATTTGTCTTTGGAGAGGTGCCTTTGGGAAGCACCTAGGGGCACATTGTGGCTATGCTGTGGTCCCACCCCAGGCTCACCACTGATGCCTGTCTTCCCAGGTCTGTGGAGTTCCAAGACTTCCTAAAGATAGCGCTGGATAAGAACCCAGAAACCCGGCCCAGCGCTGCGCAGCTGCTGGAGGTGAGTGCACCTGCTGTCCATGACCCCCTGCTCCCCTCCACCTGCTCAGTCTTTGGAGACAGAAGGAAGGTTAGGCAGATGGAAGCAGAACTCCCCACCCCCTCACTCCTCTCATCCACCAGCTAAGTCTGCCTCACCAGCAAGGTCTTAGAGGAATTGTACCAGGCCTGCATGTAGGGTCATGCAGGGTCTTAGGGGCCCAAGCCAGGAATGTGTGTAAAGGGAAGCAGCCATTGACTCTATTAGGGCCTCTCTGTGTGTACTGTGTGGACTCAGGGCAACCACACTAATCTTGGGGTATAAGGGGACTGTTGTGCTGAAGCTATTTGAAATGTAGCTGTTGGACTGGGAATGTAGCTCAGTGGTACAGCATTTGTCTAGCCAGTTCAAGATCCTGGGTTTAGTCACCAACACCGTCACATATATCAATATGTGAGCTGCCATGCACCTGGGCTGTCAGGAAGTGCCCGCTGTGGCAGCTGGGGTGAGTGTTGGTATGGTCACTAGGAGCTGAACATGCCACCATCCTAATGGTGGCGGTTCCCTAATCTGTCCATCACTGTTCCCAAGCCACTACCACTGATGAAGGAGAGAGAAGTGGGCCTAGATGATGCAGAGGAGGGGCCTTCAACAACCTTGCCTATTCTGGTCATCATTTTACCTGTATAGCAGGCTTTGGAGGGAGAGGGAAGGTACCTCCAGATGCATAGAATCTTTTTCTGAGTCCACCTGCTTCCCTGACTATCTCTTGTGTCCCAGGCTCTGGGCTTGTCTTGACATTTGAGGCTATCACATCTTGGCTGTGCACCTCATAATTCTGAATATGAACTGGAGTTGGAAAGCCCTGGGTTCAGATCCCAGCTCTGCCACCAATTAGCTGTGAAACTCTGGCCAAGTGACAAAACTTTTCTGGGCCTTAGTTCCTCCTCTGAAGTGGGGATTAATAGCAATGGCCCCTCAAAGGGTGCTTGTGAGGGTTAAATGAGATGCAGCCAAGTGCTTAGCTATTCTGTGAGGCAGTGTGCTCAAGGAATACTTGATATGTATCATTAAAAAGTGGTCTAGAATCCAGGTGTGGTGGCACATGCCTTTAATCCGAGCACTTGGGAGGCAGAGACAGGCGGATCTTTGCGTTTGAGGCTAGCCTGGTCTACATAGCGAGTTCCAGGCCAGCTGGGGCTTCAGGGGGATCTTGTCTCAAAGACAAAAAAAAAGAAAAGAAAAGTGGGGTAGAGAGATGGCTCAGTGGTTAAGAGCACTGGTTGCTCTTGCAGGGGACCTGAGTTCAGTTCCTAAAACATGGCTAACAAGGTCACCTGTAACTCCAGTTCCAAGGAATCCAATGCCCTTTTGGCTTCCACAGGCATTGCATACCTGAGTGCACTTACATGCAGGCAAAATACTCATACACATAAAAAATAAATAATTTTATTGTTGTTGTTGTTGTTTTTTGAGACAGGGTCTCCCTGTAGCACCAGTTGGTCTGGAATTCACTATGTAGACCAGGCTGGCCTTGAACTCACAGAGATCCTGGGATTAAAGGCATGCACCACCACCCCTGACAAGATAAATAAAAAGTTTTGATAACTTTTTTTTTTCTTTCTTTTTGAGACAGGGTCTCCCTGTAGCCCCAGCTGGCCTGGAACTCACTATGTAGACCAGGCTGGCCTCGTACTCACAGAGATCCACTTGCCTCTGCCTCCCAAGTGCTGGGATTAAAGGCATGTGCCACCACGCCCAGCTTTGATAACTTATTTTTTTAAAAAGTGAAAAGGGGCTGCATGCAGTGACTCACACCTGTAATTCCATCACTTCAGAGGGAGGCAGAGGCAGAGGCAGAGGCTCAGGCAGGAGGATCACTACAAGTTCCAGGCCAATATAATTTATATAGCAAGTTCCTGGCCAGCCTGGGCTACATAGAGAAATTCTGTCAGGCAGGTGAATCTCTGTGAGTTCAAACCAGTCTGTTCTGCATAGTGAATTCCAGGCCAGCCAAGCTTGCATAGTGAGACCCTGTCACTAAATAAATAAGTAAACAAACCAGAGTAGAAAGTGGGCCTGGGGACTGGAAGGTTCCATTTGTTCCTTTCAAACTTCTAATTTAAAATCAAAAGTGTAGCCGTCCTAAAGGCCCATTTTCCAGCCTGTTGTGTTTGCTTGGGGGATGGGGCTGCTGTCTCTGTTATATGCAAAGGCTCCAAGCCACTTGGGGGCCAGTTGGTTCTTGTGAACGGCACCTCCTGCACTGGGGCATCCGGCCTGCCTGACTTTCCTTCTGCAGAGCAGAGACCAGCTGTCCCATCCCACCTGGCAGCTTGGAGCCTTGGCCTGAGCCAGGAATTTCCACTCCCTTGCTGAAGCAATGTCCTGCCAGAGGATTCTCAGCTTGCTGCCTGAATGGGAGATAGAAGGAACAGTGCCTCAGGCCACAGCTTCTCCAGCCTGTTAACTAGGACAGCTCTCCTACAGTCCTGTGAAGCAGAGCTGCTCCTCTCCATCAAACAGATAGCATGGATGAAGAACTTGTACACGGCCACACACTACCAGAGCTGAGGACACCTGACTCAGGGGATGTCCCTTGTCTAAGGGCACTGGTGTAGGTCTTGGCTGCCCAGCTACCCCCTTGGAGCTACAGTACCCCCTCAGCTGTGTGTCTGTATTTCTGGGGTGCTGCTGCCCCTCATCGTCTGTGTCCCTCCATGGCTGACCCTCTCCTGCTCCCATGGACTTATTCATTCATTGACCTCCACAAATATTCCCGGGCCCATGTCCTCCAGCAGTTGGTAAGCCAGGCTTTGAAATTAGGCTCCTCTAACCAGGGGAATGAGGAATTGTTTCTGTGCCTCAGTTTCCTCCTTGGTAAGCTGGATAGTGACTGAGAGTTTTTTGTTTGAGAGTTTTTCATGTGAGATACATGATCAGGAGAGTCTTGTTGGGTTTTTTCTCATACTTAACCCACTTGCAAACACTTCTGCAGACTAGCCGCTGTTTCCATGGAAATGGAGGTAGCAGTCAGCTCAGGTCTTGGCACTCAGCCCATCCTCCCTGGCACCTGACTTTCTTTCCCTCCCACTGGTCACTCCTTTCCTGTCTCCTCTTGCTCCTCCTTGTCTCAACCATGGCAAGCACCAGGTTCTCCGCACTCCCCACTTGCTGTGATGATCCCTTCCAGTCTATGGGGACCCCTGGATTTGTGCCTCCAAGCTCACCCCATGCTTGATACTGGTCTCTGTGTTTCCTTAGATGCCCATAGGCACTTCGGTATTGCCACAGCCACACTGAGCATTCAGACCCTCCCTAGGTATGCTCTGCCCATGACTTCCCATCTCAACTTTGGCACCCTGGAACTTTTTCCCACTCAACATATCCATCCCATCAGGAGTGCTGTGGCTTCTGCCTTCAGAACAGCCCAGAGTCCACAATCACCAGCTCCGTGGAGCCACCATGGGAGCTACCATTGCCGTTTACTCAGACAGTGGCCTCCTTACTGGTTGTTGTGCCATTTCTGAGTTGGTTCTCAGTCCAGCTCTCAGGGGGAACCTGTAAACAGGGGTCATCACCTTCCCCCTAGCCAGAGCCCCCTAAGGTTCCATCTCACTTGAGTGATCCATGAAGCCCCATGTAATCTGTCCCCCGCCTCACCTCTCACCTCCTTTCTGTCTCACCCCGGCACTCTAGTCTGGCCACCCAGACCTCTTGCTATTGTAACACACCAGGCGTGTTCCTGCCTCAGAGCCTTTGTACTGGCTGCCCATTCTGCCTAAGTGCTTGTCCCCCAGAGACCACTGTGCGTGACCCTCTCCCCCTCATGAAGTCATTGCCCAAATATCAGCTTTGTAGTGAGGTGCCCCTAACAACCCATTTAAAACTGCCAAACTCTGCTCTGGCCTGCATTCCTACTTCCAGTTCCCAGCCCACTCTTCATCTTTCCATGGCACTCAGCATTGTGCCTGCAGTCTACAGCTCACTTGTTTATTGTGCCTCTTGCTGAGCTCCTCGATTAGCGTGGTTCATAGTTACAACATACTAGGTTATGGGGCTGGAGAGATGGCTCGGTGGTTAAGAGCCATGGCTGCTCTTGGAGAGGACCCAGGTTTGATTCCCAGCACCCACATGACAGCTAACGACCATGTGTAACTCCAGTTCCAGGGGAACCCAAAGCCTTCTTATGACCTCTGTGGGCATTGCACGACAGGGGTGCACTTACATACATGCAGGCAACACACTCATACACATAAATGATAAAATATTTTTTAAATCAACATATCAGGTAAAAACAACATAAGGGAGAAGGATTGATTTTGGCTCACATTTTGAGAGTGGCTCAGTCCATCGTGGTGGGGAGGGCCTGGCAGCAGGCGGGGCTCTGTCCTCGTCATGGTGGTACATACAGAGCTGCTCCCATGGCAGCGAATAGGAGGCAGAGGCTGCCAATGCAAACAGGTGACTATGATCTTTCAAGGACCACCTCTAGTGACCTTCTGCTGGTCAGGCCCCACCTCCTAAAGATTCTGCAGCCTTCAAAATAGCAGCAGAAGCTGGGGATCAAGTGCTCAGAGCATCAGCTTGTGGGGAACCTTCTAGAGTCTAACCCTGACAAGCCTGTTGGATCCCTGAGAACAACGTGGTTCAGATGTATCCCCAGAACCATGCCTGGTATGTAGAAAGCCCTCAGCAGGTATTTGCAAAGGAAGTTGGCCTAATATTTACCTAACAAACATTTTAGAAGGCTTTCTCCATGCCAGGTGCTACTGTAAACACTTAAGAGATGTTAACTAGGACATTGCTTGTAACAGCCCTGTAAAGTTGGAGCTATTCAGCCTCTGTTGGACAGATAACACAGATAAGAAGCCTGCACAGGGTCACACAGCTGTAAGGAACACCAAGCACTCTCATCCTGGTGACGTGGTTCTAAAGTCTGTCTAGGCCCCTGGAAAGCTACTTGTCCTAATAAGTGGATAAAAGGAAAAAGAAACAAAGGGAAAGAGGGAGATGCCTAC